CACACACACACACACACACACAAATAATCCCCTGAAAATATTGCTGAAACTGGTTGGGATGCAAAAAGTCAATATTGTTATGCTGTGTGTGTGTGTGTGTGTGTGTGTGTGTGTGTGTGTGTGCGTGTGTGTGTGTACAGTAATTAAGGCCTAAAACAAAAATAAGAAGTGCTCCACAAAGGCAACAGCCGCGCAGATGACAGCTAGATGCATGTGATGGTTAGACGTCCAGACACAGTGTCTGTCCATAAAAAAAAAAACATAAATGCAACCAGATATGACAAATTCCTTATCATCATTACTTTGAATTTATTACAGTACTAGTACATGATGTACCGTACATGTACATGAATATGACTAAACATTCAAATAAATTGATTGAGTAATCCATGTATCTTTTACAAATAGATATATACTAATTGTAATTATTCAATGAACATATACAGCATTTACTAGTAATTTAATACTGCAGCAATAAGTGAATGATATTACAATATCAATAAACATTAGTTAGAAGTGTGGTCCAACCTGTGCAATCTGTCTCATCTCTGTTATCTTCACAGTTTTTCTGTCCATCACACATCAGCTCCTTGGAGATGCACTTTCCATCACACTCTATGTGGTCCTCTGGGCAACCCTGCACTGTAAATGTTACAGTAATAACTTGATAATTAATAACAAGTGTAAGGTCTGGACATTATAGTTAAATGGCTTACACAAATACCACACAATGTACGACTTTCTCATTATCTGTAATAAAATGAACTGAACACACATGCACCTTTTGATCAACAACCCAGTCTTTTGTCACATATGCACAACCTTGGTCCTGCAGCCATATTGCTCTCAAAAGTTCATCTCTGGGAATTAAAAAAATTCCAATCTGATTTTCAAAATGTGTTTGCAGTGTGGCAAGCTTTCACTACTTTACCTCTGTACGTGTATTGCCGATGTACCATGACAATCAGACTTCCCTAAAATCTGCCTCCCCAGTCAAATTTTCATTATGAAAATGTTACTCCCCCCATAAAGTTTTGACTCCCAATCCCCCCACAAAACTTAATAAATCTTTTTTATTTGAGTATATGACTTTTTTCTTAGTATGCATAATGGAGGATACATTGGCACTTTTTGTTAGTTTGCAGGTGAAAATTTTCACGAGAAAATAAGAAAATTAAAAATGTGTATTTTACCACCATGATATTTGGTGATCATTTCAAGATCTTTCCTTTTAGTATACTTCATGAAGAATACATTGGAAATACTTGATAGTTTGATGGTAAAATATTGGGTCACCGTGACTTTTGCCAGCAATGCAATGTCAACAGTTCTTAGTAAAATTGACACCTTCCATGCTAAAATCAATTGCTTCCTGAAGAAGTTCTCTTTAAGGATGTAATTATTATGCTCATCCAGGTAAGCAAATGGGTTTCTGCAATCTACTGCCTTAAGATCCCTGATCACAGATAATGATCATCACTTAAATCCAATTTTATCTCTTATAAGCAGGTATGCCATGGCTATAATTACAAAGATCAGCAAAGGAAATCAACCAGGTAAATAGCTCATCCTCCCTGACACTTTATTTCATCCTCACTGACACAAGTTGTCAAGCATTGTGAAGTATGATACCATCAGAAAAAGTCTGACAACTTAAGCACAGAAGTCAATACAATCCCCCATGTTTTTTTTTAGTTGTTTTACCCCATTTCTGTTGGACTTGCCAGTTGCTAAGACGTGTGATGTCAGCTTGACTGTTAGATCATTTTTCTTGTCTAGTCCAAAAAAAGAATCTTCACAAGTGAAACTCAAGAAGCTTGCATGAGCCAATCAACAGAGTATGTTAGAATTTGATCTCTGGCAAGAACACAGCAGCGAGTGGAGGTCCCATTTCCAGTCTCTGACAGCTTCATTTTAGCACACGCCTTCTAGCACACCATTATCTAACCATAATATGCTATTCTAATCCCTCTGTTGTCACCCAACTGCCAAAGTAATAGTGGGCAAGACATATGCCATACCCTGCAGTCAAGATGCATATATTCAGCAAAAATCTCAACAAGTTGAGATTGCTGAGAATGCATGTGCTAAGTTAAGCTGTTACAACTTCAATGGAAATGCATCCCAAATAGAAGAATACAAAGGGCACACATGTATGGAGACACGCACACAGCCTGGCATTTGATACTGAAAGCAGAGTACAAAATGCTTGGCATGACTTTTCAGACAAGAAAATAATGCTCAAGTAAAATTCAGGAATGGATATAATATTAATTTTCAACCAGTGCATACATGACAAAGGAAAATGTGGTTCACAATATTTGATCATTTAAGATTAAACATAACTTAGAGAATAAGCTGATGAGTTTATGTGGAATCTACTAGATGTGCTTCAATTCAATTCCATTGGTAACTCCAGGTTTAACAACATAAGCTTAATCCTGAGAACTTACATGGTTCACAAGTTTTTTCCTTCACTGTCATCCCTTCTGGACAAGAACAGACAAAATGGCCGCCAGGTTTAGCAAAACAAAGATGACTACAACCTCCATTATCTGCAGAACATGCATTGGTACCTGAAGGAACATAGCAGTATTACAGAGATGCCTACATGCAGCAATAAATATTAATAACAACAGTAAATTCAACAGAAAATGAATGTCAATTTTTATATTGTTGTTTTTGTATTGCCAGGTTTATCAAAGTACAGTGTATATAATTATATCAGAGATGAAAGTGCAATATATGGGAATCTAGAAAAAATTCATTAACCATTTATTGGTAATAGTAGCTGTAAATTTGCAGCAGGCCTGATATTTTGCCAACAATCAGACAAAGGGAGGTGAAAACATAACCTCCTTGGCTGAGGTAATTATATATCTAGTATGTTATCCAATATGCAGGCAATTACACAGGGTTAATACAATTGTCAACACAGTGATGCTGATATTACGGAGAAATCACACAGAATACATCAGTTTCTAATTTTCTCAAAAACCTTCTTGCAAAAAATGCAAGGCGAAATGGTTTTCTTATATCACCTTGTTGTCGTGATGCTGCCATGGCAACAATTCCCATCATGCCCTCATAGTCGAGGAGTTGTCCCTGATGTCCGCCATCCCATTTGTTTGCGTAATGAAGATGTGTGGTGTCCCAGTCCGTCCAGTATATTCTTTGCTGTAGTACCGTAATCGAGAATGGATGGGGAACATTCCTGTAATACATAATACTTATACAATGCTCAATATGAAAATGTCCTCATATGATGGCCTTCACATATGCCATAACACAGCCTCTTTATGGTTAAAACTTATGGGAAATGTACACCTTTTTACACTTCATTTTATAGCATAAAGTTATGAACATTATAAACATCCCAAACATATCATCATTTTCAGATATACAATTTTTTGATATACAAACAAAAATCATATTTTTCACCTCATTTGTTTTTTTTTTTTTTTCCTTCCTAAATTATTTCTGTATCATCCATTTCAAGTCGCATGGACAAATCAAATTATAAATTGTGATATACTGAAAGTAATCCATGAAAATTCAGTGTGTTGTTACTGTATCTTGAAGTTTCTGAATCAGTACGTAATTGCTAGGGCACAAAAGTAAGATTTGAAGTTTGTGGGATTTCATGAGATTTTTTTCACTTCTGGGGATGTAAGATATTCCAAAACAGTCTAAACAACATTGACTACAGCTGTCTACATGGTTTTCTGCCAAATGGTCATCTGCTTTACTTTTAAATTATGTAATCAACCTTTAATCCTTAAATATCAGGGGCACGTGGATATAATATTACTGTGCCTGTACACTATTTAAGTCTTTTGCATTAGGTGATTATCATATAGAGTAAAAAAATTTAATATGGCTGGGATTAAGAAATCCAAAACTTTCATGTTTTTACCAACAGTATACAAGTATCTTTAATTATAATTATGGTAAAAAATGTACTTAAAATATCTATCTTAATATCACATCTTTTTTTTGACCAATTGTGTTTTTAAAAAAATTAATTTGGTCAAAATAAATAGATAAATCTTTTAGGCAACTTTTTTATAATCAACAAAATCAACAAAAACTTCCATCATAGCAATGGTCTTAAAATTAAAGCCGCAGAGATAGTGTATCTCTATCCTGGATTAAGTAGCCATTATGATGGTAATGGAAGAATCCTAATAACACTTCTATACTACATGTAGCTGATACCTGTTACATCAATCATTGAACCATGATAAGAGATTAGTATATAATAATTGAAAAAAAAAAAAAAAAACGGGTCTGAGTGGGAATCAGACCCAGGTTTGGCAGCCAAGGATGTTACTGCTCGGCCAGCAATTCTGCTATCTGATGTAGTGTTACTGACAATATATGATTCTTGTCACACATGCCAAAGCTTTACGAATATTGCTGAAAGCTAGAAAATGCCTTCAAAACATATTTATAACAGTTATAATAAAATTCAAACTATGATCACTATATTCCCACTGCCCAGAGATAATGCTAATACCTGTCAGTTGTCAACAGATCCTTGCATGCAGGTTGGGAGAAAAACATGAAAAGGAGACTTCCGCTGATCTCCTATTACTAAATAGATTGGAAAAATAAAGAAAACACTGTCTTCATGTAACTTGATATAACCATTCAGCTAGATATGTGTTATGACTGTGACATTTAGCTGGCATGGGAATCATTCATTTTTGAGACAGGAAAAACAATATATACATCTAATTGATACATATTAATATGTCTGCACGTCAATGATACTGGGTAACAACAATGGGTTATCATCTTTGAAAGTCTGCCTAAAAATTCCTATGTGTTGGATTACAATTGGGGTGCTTTCATGTGAAAAGGGTGGAGTAATCTAATAATAACAAATAAATTTGTGTTACCAAACATCGCTGTGTATTTTACACTTTTAAATTCTTAGCCAAAAATGACACTCAAAGGGGCCATTCAGAATGAGAAGAGTCGAGTGCTAGCTGGTCCACAGCCTAAATATGGTGGACCAACATGAAATGAAGACCACTTAATCCTGTAATGGTCTCTCTGCTTCTTTCACGCCTCCCCACGCGTTGTCCCTTGAACATATTGCAAAATATGATGCATATTCTAAGCGAAAAGCGTCCTCACAAGATAGGTGCCATGTTGAAATTTCGATGCCCATGCCCTATTGTTGTTACCAACTTTGGTGCATAGATAGAAAGATGGATAGATAGATGCTATAATTTGTCACAACAATCTTTAGGCTGAAAGAATTTGACCTGCCTTACAACCACCCTTCTTTCCTGTCCATCTAAGTCTGTCGCCTCTATGTGGTCAAAGCGGGCATCGCACCAGTAGAGCCTGCCGTCTTCATAGTCTATGGTCAAACTGTTTGGCCATCCAAGGCGGTCAACCAGGACCTTCCTGTTCTTGCCATCCAGATCACTACGTTCTATTACAGGACTTACTCCCCAGTCTGAGAAATATAGGTGTCTGTAATAATTGACAAATATTTTGATACATTAACATGTCAGTCACTTATGCACGCGAAGCGAATTTTTGGCCACAAAAACCTACCAAACGCCAGCATATAGTTTCAAATAGTATATCTAAGAGAATTACCAAAAGATATTGCTTAATAATACCCAAAAAATGATATCTGAAAGGACTTTTCTGCTATTTTTCTATGCTGTATATACATAGGGCTGAAAAGTAGGTCAATGACATGTAAGTAGGTTTTTCTGACCAAAAAATTTAAAGAAAAGGCAGTCAAAAGCTCTTTTATGGCTAATCGAGTGATTTATTCAGTTTATCCCTTGGCATGTTGACTTTATTTGATTCGTATAAGAAACTAGTAGAAGTGGTTTACATGTGTTACTGGATACCCACGCTCATATGTACCTTTAACTAAAGGGCAGATACAAAAGTAAATAGACTAACAGACTCAAACTGACAAACAAGTATAAGGTCGCATTCACATCGACTTGAGCCATGGCTCTACAAAGCCACGACCTAAATATGGCAGACGTACATGAAAGGAAAACCGCCTAATCAGTCTCTCCGCCTCTCACACGCCTCCCCGTGTGTCGTCCCAATGGAGCCGCGATTTAATGACTGTACCCCTGCAGGGACGACACATGGGGAGGCTATTAAAAGATAAGGCGGTATTCCTTTCATGTACGTCCGCCATATTTAGGTCGTGGCTTTGTAGAGCCATGGCTCAACTCGATGTGAATGTGGCCTAATATGTATACGGATGGGTACTCTTTCTTGATACAACTTTACAATAACCGATATACCTACTACAAGCTCACATTATACTTTATGCATTACATTCTACCAGTTGCAGAATACCAAGGCTAACTAAGCTGAAATGTACCCTTTCCTCATTTTGCACAAAACTAGCACCATTATTATCCATCATATCTCAGGATAATAACCTTAAAATAATCAATAATTTATGCTGCACAGACTGAGACAAGAGAATTACCAAAAAGGGAAAACATTTACATCTGGTCTTAAATGTGCCCCCCCCCCCCTCCCCCCATAACAAAATTCAGAAAAAAATTTTCTATATACATATTCTTGATGCAATGTGGGCACTTGGGATCAATTGGGTGGTCAATTAATATCATTAACAGTGTTGGATCCAGAGATATTTTCTGACAATCTTCCAAATGATCTTTGTTGCGCCATCCCCCATTTTTGACCGTCTTCCGACAGTAAAAAATTAGATACCCGTCAACGTAAACTTGAAAATCTGGAAGACCCAGAAGACGGCCTAAATCTGCCCCTGATTAACAATACCAGGCTGAGCAACAAAGTCCAGCTCACTGAAACCCTGTTTGATAGACACTGTAATTGTCATTACGACATTTACCCATTTAGAGGGTGCACTGCTAACCCTCGAGGGCGATCCAAATATTTGAAGAGTAAGGTTTTTCTTGAGCTGCCATTGAGTCTTGATACTTCTATTAACGCCTAGAAATGAAAATCATTGTAGTAGTATTTAACTATTTGAGGCTGCATATTTAGGAACTGATTCACTGATTATCTTAAAAAAACAATGAAATAATTAGAAGATGAACCAATTTTATATAAAGCCCCAATACACAATCATGTTAATAAAGTATGAATTAAATATACATTTAACAGACAGTATTGTAAAACTAGTTTTAAATACAATGTATTTAAAATAGTTCACAGATAAAATAGACATAAATTAAAGCTAGCAAATATAAAAGCAAGAACAGCAAAAAACATTGCAAAAATATTTTCAAAAAGTTAAACTTTATGAAAATAATCCAACCCAAACAAAATCAAAAACATGCATAAACATAAATAATACAATGGACAAAACACAGTAAAAATAAACAATTATTTGCTTTGATTTTGTCTGACATTAGTAAGGGTGGCATATTCTCATTGGCAAGATTTTTAACTACTGCATTTGCATTGCGAGAAGAGATAGTGAAATGAATTTAATTCACAGTGTTGATTAAGAACATGACTATCATAACGTTTACATTCTTTGAAAATTGTTCAAAAGAGGACTAGCTATTACGGATATGTCATATTTATTCAGTGTACAACAAAGGTTTTATTACGAGTGGTAAAATTGTGGTGAAATTTTACATGTATTTTGGGTCGGAGGCCTTAAATTACAGAATAAACATCATCATCATCATCATCATCAATAAATCCTATCAAACCAAGTTTCAAATGTAACGTGCCTCATTAACATTCAAATCCACTCCGCAAATTTGCAGTAGAACAAAAATCTGATTTCAATTAGCATTTATGGGGTTAATGTCACAAAAATACATGAAAAAATTCCAAAAAGCAGAGTTGCGTGAAATTTAATCTGATCATGCTCATTTTCAAAAGGAACTTTTTTTTTTCAAAGACGCAATAATCTAAATTCCAACACAAACTGCATGATGTGTGTAAACCCTTTAAGAAGATGTATTACTTATAAATCACTTAGAAAGACCGTGGTTACAAAAATGCACGTTTGGCCTACTCATTCTGACATAATAACCAGTAATAAATCAATCTTTTCAATGGGGAAAGATGATTCTAAATGGCCATAAAGCAGTATTTTCATGAGTACTTTGGAGAAGATTCAGTCTCTCTCTTGCTCTCTCTCTCTCTCTCTCTCTCCCTCTGTGCTATATCCAAACAAAACATATTGTTTTCAGAGGTTCTTGTGCAATCATTCTTTTGACATCAGATCTTTATTTCTATCAGATACGGTAAAACCTTGAAATTTCTGCACTGAAAAAATTATTAACTTTCTGATAATCTGAATTTCTCAAAAATGTGCTTCCACTAGAAATTGATTTATTTTTTCTTTCTTACATCTTGCAAGCCTCCTGTGAAATGTTTATCATTTTTTCAATGTCTTCTCATCTGGGTCTGGCCAGAAATACATTTTTTGCCAGTGTAATATATTGTGACTGTTTAATAAACCCCAATATCTCATTTTTCATTGCAATAACTTCAAGTTATTGAACTTTGAAATTACAATTTATTGGAGCCACCTGATATTATAACATTCATACAAGATGTACACAAATTCATAATTTCACATCTAAATAAAACAATAAATAATAATTTGATTTCAAAAACAGAGGCCCAATGAGATCATTCAGCCTCATTAAGAGGTTCATCGATGTCACTGAAAGCTTAATAACTGACAACAATGTTGAATCTGTGCATAAACTTGAAAATCTGCTGAGTCTTGCAGGACACCATGGACTCAAGAAAAAATTAGCCATGCAGATTCAAGAGTTTAACATTTGTTTTTATGTTTGCCCTAAGAAAAAAATCATCAGTTATGGAGTAATTGCCATCTGATCAGGTTTCGTTTCTTTGAATCATTAAGTATGAGTAATATGGAAGAAAGCTAGAAGGTTATTTTTTCATCATCTGACTCCACAGAAGCTAGCAACCAAATAGGTAAACCATCATCTGCATATTGCAGACAGCTGCTCAAAGGGACCCATTATTTTTCCAATCAAGATTATTGGCAAGGTTCTCAGGACTCAAGTTTCATCGCCCCAATTAAACAAATGGACTACAGCTTAGTCGAACAACATGACTATGCACAAGACAAAGTTAATGAAATTTATTCCAGTCTATTTTGAATTTTGATACATTTTTCCATGTGAAAAACTTTTGACAGTGGAATATGGCCTTTTGACAAAATTTTCAAGGCCAACAAAATGCTTAAGTCTTTACTGTAGTTGTTCCATACAATCATCTTTTTTACTTTGTCATCTAATACTCTATGATATAATTGTCCAAAGATAAAATACTAGGAAACATGGGTTCCCAAACAATGGTACAGTATTAATTTCAGCCCACCTAAGACATAAACATTCATACAAATGTCAGGAAAAGGATCTTATTTCTTAGCACTGAGAGTTATATAGTCACTATAAGTGGGTGTCCTGTGGTAAATACATGTATTACATGAATGTAAGTCTCATGCTTTATTTTCTCCATGCTCATGTATCATTGGATGTTACAAATGCAAAGGCAGATTGAGGCTTTCTTCTGGATCTTCCGGAAAACAGTCAGATTTTCAAGTTAGCATTGACGAGTATCTAATTATTTTTTTGGAAGATGGTCAAAAATAGAGAATGGATCAACATTGACAATTTGGAAGACTGTCAGAATATATCTCTGGACCCGTGACATTTAATGTCTTAACTAGAAAGCCAATTTAATACAACCAATTGTTCTGTACAGTCTGTGGTTATACAAGGTTGAAAAATGAAAAAGAAGCTCTTCGATTGGACAATTGTATATAGTGATGACAGATATTTATGAGTAGTGCTGAGAAGTTGCAGCATGTTTAGCAACAGCAACCAAAAGGTACAGCCTTACTTGATAGGGTGGTAATACCCATACAATTTCTGTAAATCAAAGAAATAACAAGCCTGAAGATAGCAGAAGAGAAAATGATGCTAAATAATTATAACAAGACACATCTAGAATCCTTTGAAGACTTTTCTTTCATCAATGAGTCAGGATATCAGACAGAACTTCTACAGAATGGCACACAAACTTTGGCTATGGAAAGTGTCTCAGTTCCACTCCGTGTTGTAATCCTCATGCTGAAGGGAATCTTTGTAATTTTGGGAGCTGTGGGCAACACTTCCATTGTGGCAGCCATACTGCAAATCCCAAAGTTCCACAAGTCTGCTCACTACATCCTCATCTGCAGTCTCACCTTCAACAATGCCATGGTATCCTTCCTGGAGACATTTCCACAATTTCTGGCATTTACCATTCCAGATTGGGACATAGGACAGAGACTCTGTACCTTCTCCTTCTACATCAAGCTGCCCCTGCTCACGACATCTGCTTTGCTATTGGCTCTTATTGGATTTCAGCGTTGTATCCTAATTTCCAGCAAACCAGGTAATGCAATGGCAAATAAACTGAAATCGTCAAAATACATTGGGGGACTAATTGCTTTGGCATGGTTGTTACCCATGCTTTTCATAATTCAAACAACTTTTGTGTGCAGGGGAAAGGTTATACGTTATAACCCAGAAAGCTTATTATGTATGTATGATAACAGAAAAAATTACTGTAATTCAATGGCTTTCTTTATGGTCTTATATGTAGCAGCATCAGTCATCATGTTGGTCTGTGATGGCATAATTATCTTTAAGATGAAAAGATTAAAGAAAAAGATTGCTCCAGCACAAAATGCTTCAACTTCCACAGACAGCTTGCCATCACAGCAGCAGCAGCAGCAGTCTTATCTTGCTAAAACTGAACTTCAGCTTATCAAGACCATGTTTCTCTTGATGCTGAACAGTTTCATTTGCAACCTCACTCCAAGTCTTGTGCTGAACCTCATATCCATTGGCCCAGAAGCACATATTGTTACCTCGTTACTTTTTCAGCTCTCACGAACAATGGATGCCATCATACTGTATGGGAAAAATAGGTCGCTCAGAAAAGCAATTCAAACATTGTATAAATCTTGTTTCTGCAAAGCATGACAGTCTTAAAAAGAAGGGGGGATTTAGGCCATTTTTAGGTCAGATTTTCAAGTTTACATTGACGGGTATTTTATTTTTTCTGTGGGAAGACGGTTAAAAATGGAGGATGGATCAACAAAGATAATTTGGAAGACTGTCAGAAAATGTCTCTGGATCCACCCTTGTAACTGGTAGTATTCTTCTTAATCAGTAACTGCAGGTTTATTAATTCAGATCACACTAAGCCCAAAACACCTTCTTATATTTATCCATTGTTAATTTGTAATGCACTGTAATTTTGTCATTTATTATGTAATTTCCACTAGGTTACATGTACTCACAGTATTATTGCCATTACCACTGTTATCAAATTCAATGAAGAGAGCCAACAAATGTGCACAATGTACAATTGCTTTTGTCGAGTGTAGGATTATTATGATCCTTAATATTACTTAAGTACCTGACAAAAAATGCAAGCAGTAGTGAACAATAGCAAATGAAATAATTATATAATTCATATCCAAGTGATTAGATAAATGCCATAAAGTGGTCTTCAATGTCTAGATTCAGTGTGTCGTTCAATATTCATGTCAAACTTAATGTATACATATTGTACTACTTTTCTATTGTAATGTTTTATTTGTTTACTAGTCTTTTAATAACATATTGTAAAATTAATTCTTTACCGAGCCTGTAATCTTGCTGGATAAAGAAGCTGGGGATTTTGGACACAAAACATAGTGTTCAAATTCAGTTATATTATATATTTATATATTATATGCTAAAGGGTCACTCCAGGGCTCTGAAACTCTGTAACTCTGTAACTCGAGAGCATCACGAATTGCGATAGCCATATCACCTTTAATTTCGAGGATAATCGGGGCATCCCGAGTTATGGAATAGAGGTGCTTGTGCTCGGTCGCAATTTGCAATACTTTCAAGTTACGGAGCCCAGCAAATTTGCAGTGAATCTGAGAG